TTAGGTCGTATATGCGATTTTGTAGGTCGTTGTACTCAGTGTAAGCACTGTCCAACATTTTCATTTGCAGCTGAAGATAATGCATATCTTCCGCGTTTGGATGCTGCAACGCGATCTGGATGCGACGAACTTTTCTGTCCACTGTATCCTTTTTTTTCACCAGTACAGTCATGTCTTCATTCTTCTTTTTTCGCAGCTCTACTTGCTGCTGACGACGTTTCTGTTCACTCACGGGGATAACAGGCTGTGGTTCGTCTTCCTCTCCACTTTCGTTTTCCCTTTCACTCTCGTTTTCCGAGTTCCTCGGATCATCCTTGTCTTTCTTGGGTGAATGCATGATCGGCGCCATTTTGCTTTCAGCAAATCAACTTCACAATGGCGGTCACTCCGAAAATCAATCAAACGAATACGCCGATCCTGTGGCGTTCTTTTCCCGTTCAAAATCTTTTTTCACTTCACGAATTCGCGATTTCCACGCTAGGAAATGCGATCAGTTCAATTTCTTCCGATTAACTACACATCCGGTTCGAAGGACCAAAAAATGTAGCTTCAAGAGTCAAGTGGACTGTAAAACCGAAAGGCTCAGCGTTTGCAGAAATAAAGAAAAACACATCCGCGCGCGTGAGCTTCTTAACTAAGACTAATTTATTTCCTTTCTCTTTACATTGGATGAAACTTTAGGGAGGCAACAGTGAAGTTAGGTGTGAAGGCATTAGATATGAAAACACGGTAAAAGTTGGATAGTGGGCAAAACCGATAATTGTTCCGTTGTACATGTCCTCCACGAGCAAAGTCACGGTCTCGTGGCTGTAGACGATCACCGGTCCAATCAGCGTCTTCTAGATAGTCAACTTCGTGGCGAATTTTATTCGACCGGAGCGTCCTCCGGAGTCCAAAGTAGGTACGATTCCCAGCCATAATGCGTCTTTGAAATTCTCTGCTGGTATAATTTTCGACGGTCACCAGTGAGCCCAAATACACGAACTCATCGACCACCTCGATTTCGTCACCGTCAATCTGAACTCGGGGTGGGAGGCTAACATTGTCTTCCCAGAACCTCTTCCTTTCATGTATTTAGTGTTTAATGCGTTGATGGCAAGTCCAATCCGCCTAGCTTCAGCCTTCAGTCTGATGTACGTTTCCGCCTTCGTCTCAAAGTTCCGTGCCATGATGTCGATGTCATCGGCGAAGCCAAGAAGCTGGATGGACTTCCTGAAAATCGTGTCACTCGTGTTTATCCCTGCTTTTCTGATCATACATTCTAACGCAATGTTGAACAGCAGACACGAAAGTCCATCACCTTGCCGTAACCCCCTTCGAGATTCAAAGGGACTCGAGAGTGTCCCCGATACTCGAACAACGCACATCACTCGATCCATCGTTGCCTTGACCAATCGCGTCAGTTTATCTGGAAATCCGTACTCGTGCATAATCTGCCATAGCTGATCACGATCGATTGTGTCGTGTGCGGATTTGAAATCGATTAACAAATGATGTGTAAGCAAGTTGTATTTGTGGCATTTCTGCAGAACCTGCCGAATCGCGAATATGAACCCATGAATCCCTGCTGGTATTGCCCAAGAAATCTCTTGCAAATAGTGACAGACAGCAGCGTATAATTTGGGAGAGTACCTTGTAAGCGGCGCTCAGCAGTGTGATCGCGCGGTAGTTGCAGCAATCCAACTTGTCGCCCTTTTTGTAGATTGGGCATACAACACCTTGCTTCACTCCTCCGGTAATATCCCCTCCTCCCAAATCTTGGCAATTACCCAGTGCAGCGCTCTAGCCAGTGCTTCACCACCGTATTTAATAACTCACTTGGTTGTTGATCTACACCAGTTGCTTTGTTATTCTTCAGTCGACCGAGCTCCTCCTCAACTTCTTGAAAATCAGGGGCCAGTAGCCTGTCGTCTTCTGCACGTGCTCCAAGGTCTGTTGCCGTGCCACCTTCGTTTTCTGCTGCATCACCGTTGAGGTTCTCGTCATAGTAATGCTTCTACCTCTCAATTTTATGGAGTGACCATTTTACGGATGTTGTTGATCTTCCGGACGACGGTTCCATGGCTATCTATCATGTTTAAGTCACGATCAAAAATTCATTCTTATATCACAGTTCCTAATGTTTTTGGAAAAAAACTGCGGAGCTCTATGATCAGTTGCATTGATTAACCTCTTTTACGGATGTTCTGGACTTACCAGAGGATGGCCCCATGGCCATTTGGGTCCATGTTTATGTCATGACCCCAAAATATTTCTTATATCGCAGTTCCACATGCTTTCGAAAAAAAAAACGTAGAACTCTAGGATCAGTTTCGAGGATTGAACATTTTTAAAGATGTTCTAGATCTTGCGGAGGACGGTCTCATGGCCATCAAGGTCCATGCTTAGGTCACGACCCCAAATTCATTATATCATCTCAGTTCTTAGTGTTTTTTTTTCAAAAACTGCGGAATTTTTCGGATCTTCCGGAGGACGTTCCGATGGCCATCTGGGTCCATGTTTATGTCACGATCCAAAAATCATTCTAATATCACAGTTCCTAACGTTTTCAAGAAAACCACGGAGCTCTAGGATCAGTTTCGTTAATTTTCAACTTTCCCGAATGTTCCGGATCTTTCGGAGGACGGTCCCATGGACATCCAGGTTCATGTTTATGTCACAAGCCTAAATTCTTTCTATCATCACAGTTCTTAATGTTTTCAAGAAAACCACGGATCTCTAGAATCAGGATCGTGGATTACCACTTTTACGGATGTTCTGGATCTTCCGCTGGACGGTTTTATGGACATCCAGGTTCATGTTTATGTCACAAGCCCAAATTCTTTCTATCATAACAGTTCCTAATGTTTATAAAAAAAAAACGCGGAGCTCTAGGATTAGGATCGTGGATTTACCACTTTCACGGATGTTCCGGATCTTCCGCTGGCCATCTTGGCTGGCTGGTCCGATGGCCATCTTGGTCCATGACCCAAATTCATTCTTATATCACAGATCCTAATGTTAAAAAAACGCGTAGCTCTAGAATCAGTTTCATGGATTGATCACTTTTACGGATGTTCCGGATCATCCGGAGGACAGTCTTATGGACATCCAGGTTCATGTTTATGTCACGACCTCAAATATTTGTTTATATCACCGTTCCTAATGTTTTCAAAAAAAACCGCAGAGCTCTAGGATCAGGATCATGGATTGACCATTTTTACGGATGTTCCGGATTTTTCGAGCACCGTTCCATTGTCTCCAGGATCCATATATAGGAACCATGACTGTATTCTAGCTAATTGTGAACATTTGTGCCCATTAATCTAAATTACAGATCTTGCGCCACTTGCAAAACCCTACAAACACACCTTTCAAAAAAACGTGTAACAACTCTTTTCGCTTTTTAAAAAAGTAGACGACTCTATTTTCAAGTTTTTTGCAATCAAAATCATCTAGAAACCCTAGGAATTCTAAAGGTACCACAATTTTTGAAATTCATTAAGAAATGGCTAAGTTGTGCCATTGCAAACACGTTTTTCGGAGGCATCGTATTCGGAGTGTTAAAAAAAATACGTTTAAAAGTGTATTGTTTTGTCTAACCAAAAGATGCCTCTCAATGCGCTATACAACTCTCTCTTTGACACCAATTTTCTATCGTGTTTAGTTTTGTCGAAATTTTGTACTGAACACATCATATTGGGTCGTTAATTAACGGTTGCGTAAAACACGAATTCAACCCCACCGTGCGTTGCTGTTGACGTCTGTTTGCAGCGCGCATAGCACACTTGATCGCCACGCAGAGTGACGGTATGAAAAGTGTGACAAGAAAAACAATGCTGCGGACGGAAAATTGAAAATGTTCTGTTTTTTCTCGATACCAATGTAGATCAGTTCATTGAACTGATTGGTATTTTCCAGTGATTAATCAAATTGAAACACTGATCTTCGTTTCTTTCATACATTTATTTCAATAGTTGCTCTATGTGTCCTCCATTTTCTTGGATGCAGTACCTAAACCTCCTTCCGGTCTCTTCCACAAGGTTAATATTATTCATTTTCTCTTGTATCTTTCGAGCAGAAATAAATTTATGAAAGAAACGAAGATCAGTGTTTCAATTTGATTAATCAATACCCAATCAGTTCAATGAACTGATCTACATCTCCCCATCCGAATCGCTTCAATTGGGTGCACTGGCGGTCCCTCCCCTTCTCATCATGTATTGGTTCATATAATAATATAATGTTTTATATACATATGCTATCATTTTGTGAAAGTATATACGGTGACTTACCTTTGATGATGAAGTAACTTACCTAACTGATAACCATCTTCCTTCTTGTCTTTTGTTGGCCTTCTTGTAGGTGGTTGGTCTAAGGTCTCCTATCCCCTGATGGGACTGCCATCTTAGGTGTAGCTTCCGGGGAAAAGCATTTCTTATTCAATTCAACCGAGGTCGCAGATGATAGGTAAAAACCTATTCTTACATGCTTGCAAATATCAGATATCTGAAGTTGTTCTCAAACCACACCGTGCGCGGTAAAAAGCGAATCAAGTTAAACCAGATTTTGCTGATTATTATCTCCATTTGAGCGGTAATTAGTGATCCAAATCGCTTGGATGATATTGTTGGTTGCATCTAAAACTGGACAGCTCCAAAAATGCAAAAATTGTGATACGAGCAAGTGTACGTTTACTTCAAATAGTTTTCTTGTATTTGGAGCACTTCTTTCTGGCTTCGTATGGAATAAATGCACCGAAGATAAAAAAACGAAACGTCCAGTTTGGAGGGACGTGCGCAATACATTAAAACCAATATTTCATGTGTGAACTCAAAATGGAACTGCCTCTTAAACTTGCAAGCCACATAGCATGTTCCTACGTTGGTTTTTAACATTTGTTATGCCAAACAAAGCGCTCTCCTAGAGAGAAACAGTTAAACCGTTTGACTCTGGCCAATGTGATGCATACCACTACAACTCACGTAATTATTTCCTACTGATCCTTGTTTCATTTTCAGAACAATAAATTCTGGCGCTACAACCGAAACCTGTGGGTGTGGTTCCTGACCGAACCGAAAAAGGTGGCCGTCGCAATCAAGGAAGTCACCGCCGCTGCATCGAAAATGGCTGCCTACAAAAGCATCTCCGGCATCAAGTGCAAGCCCATGGCCGATGAAATGAAGTTCTGAAAGGCGGTAGATTTTACGACACAAGTGATACTTTATGCTTATTCTCATATCCTATAAAGAATAGCCGCTATAATACATCAGCATGAAATGTTAGGCGTCATCCGCTGCGGAAAGAAATCCCTTCATTGTACTGCTCTCCGGCGCGAGACGATGCATAATGGACAAGTGGTAAGCGTTTCCGCTAATTAAGCGCTCTTTTAGTGTGTTCATCCGTCCTGGGCTCTCGCTCGCTTACATCCTTGCATAATGATTAGGTTAGTTAGTGCACCCCACTCACACGTTGCGAGCACAAAAAGAAACTCCTAAAAGAGTCACTAAGGGATGGGTCGGGTCGGGTCCGGTTTATTAGTGGGGATTAAAATTTAAAGCGCATTTTAATGCTCGGTAATGGTGGTTGAGTTGGAAGATTTGCGGCACGTCGCCAGTTGTTGTCGTTGCCTTTTCCCGTTTGCGCCAACGCCGGATGGATTAATTAAATAAAACTTAACAAAAACACCATCCAAAAGTCCGAGCTTTTCGCGCCAGGGTCATTTGGGAAATGCTCTTGCTAGGCATGAAGAATGGTGGAGAGCGAGCAAGGGACTCGTTTCCCACCAGCACCGGCCGACGGTGGTATGGTCATGTGTGTTAAACGGATATGGTTTTTCGGGGAGTTTGAGTTACTGTGTGCGGTTTTGACCCGCCATCCGTCCCTGCAAGCGAGGGTAGAGTTGAGTGCACACGTGTGTAAATTCTCGTTTATTTGATTTTACAAAGCATGTTTTATTCAGGACTTTCTGAAAGCTGAAGGGTGAGATACACTACAGGGGGTACACCAGCTGTAGTGCGTTTTTGTTCGAGATGTGAATCATGATGTTTAGGGCTGTTTTTGGGAAATTACTGCAATTGTCGTAGTAACAGGTTTTACTATTGAATGAGATTCTGATATCATTACTTGCAGAGCTAGATTTGAATGGCCTTGTTCGGACTAGAGCCCTCGTGATATATGTAAAGCCCAAAACACAACGATATCAATGCCTTGTAACATATGAATGCCAGTCTTGAGCCATAACAATGCATTTTTATATAGGAATTTACCCATATCGACTTTTTAAATGTTTTCGTTTTCTGCTGCTGGTGCTCTCCGATAGGGATCAAACTGTATGGGTCATGTACAGTATCGGACAAAATATAGGCAATTGTTCGCTAAACCAAGATGACATCTATTGGGCCTGAAAAAAAATCAGCAAAATGGGTTGCTATTTGTTTATTTATTTATTTATTTATTTATTATTGTCCTCATCTCATTGGACAGGGTGGCCAGCAAACCGGGAATACCGGGAAATATACGCGAATTTTTAAAGTATCAGGAAAACCGGGAAAAATCCAGGAATTCAAAGAGAGAACCGGGAAAAATAAATTAACCATGCCATATGAACAAATCTTTACACCAGGATTTCAGAATAAACAATTAAAACAGAGTGATTATCTCCCAAATAAATGTCTTACTTTATTTGCTGCATAATTTTCGTATGTTTCCCGTCTTATTGTTTTTAGAATTTAATCACTCAGAAATTTCAAACTGATTTTTTTCGTTTCAATTTCAGATGTAAAGTGCAAGGACATTAAAAGAAATTATTGAAGATTGTAGTAGCCATACTACTCTTCCTTTAATTCCCATGTAAAGTAGCATTCAATAATGCGCACATGACTAACAATATAGATTCATACTTCCTTGTGTATGTCCTAGATTTTATGACACACTTTATGCATCCAAAACTGCGACCTCACAGTCAGCAGCTAAACCTTTTCCGTTTTCCTTATTTTGAGACATTCGTAATTGTTACCACATGAGCATCAACAATAAACTCTATTTTACAAATATTGTCACCAACGCTTCGCTTCGCTCACCGAACTTGCCTTCTCCATATTTCGTTTCAATAAAATCATTCTAAGTTCACACCAAGAGTATGACTGACGTCTTACTAAATCCGAACTCCGATCCTGCCTCAAGATGCTGGACTTTCGAAACAAATATTTGTAAAAACCGAAACTGAACTATTCTTTTCCGGGGTTTTAATTTTTCGTTATTCAAAATGCTCATGATATGATTTCCAGAATTAACTTGACATTCTACTCTGAATTATCATGAAATTGTTCTGAAATCAACCCGAAAATACTCCGCGTAATAATTACGGTTGAATTCTTTTTGGAATTTCCTTGAAACTCCTTCTAAGAATTTGATTGGAATCCTTTTTAGAATTGCCTTTAACCTATTCGGAGACTTTGATTGCTTTGAAATTCTTTTCAAAATTTTCTATTCAAAGCTACAGAAATCTTTTAAAATTTCATTTAGAAACCCCTTGGAGTATTATCAGCAATTTTTTTGGCAATCAGTTCTGTTGGAGCTCTGTGATGAATATTTCGTACTAGGGTTGAAATTATCCCAGGGACACTCGTAGAACTCAGTTTCTTTTGAATTCTCATGGAATTCTTTTTTAAATTCATCTGTCATTTTCCTCACGATCCCCATTCACATCTCCTCAGAATCACATAGGAATTTCCCTTAAAGTTTTTTTTTTTCAAAACTCCATTTGAAAATTTCTAAAATTACCTAAGAGTTTAATTTAGAACTTGAATGCTTCTGCACAGAAATCCCTGCAAACTCATCTAACAATTTCTAAGGACTTCATGTTTTAATAATTCTGAAATTTTGCTCAGTACTTTTCCCTTTAAAAATTATGTGGGAATCCTCCTCAATATTTGTTGGAAATCAACACTTTGAATCCTTTTAATTTTTACTAAAAAATTTCAATGTTTGTCCGCAAGATTCTATAGATTGTTCTGTAATTTGTTATAACTCTTAAAACGCTTCAAAGTCTCAGAACCTTGACAGGTTAGGTTTTTGATAAGTCTTTAGTGAGTATGACACTGATGAAGACTGCAAATTGTAGTCGAAATACTTATCTGTCATGGATACCAAAATTAATTAAGTGCAATTAAATGAATGATAACCTTTTTTGCTGTTTTGTCCGAAAATTTACAGTTTGGCCGCGTTTTTAAAAATGCGTACTATTTTATTTTTTGTTGAATATTAACAACCGGGAAATTTGTAATATTCGAATCGGGAAAACCGGGAAAAACGGGGACTTTCAAAATGAAAATTCACGGGCCACCCTAATCGGACTTTTACTGTCTGAATGAAGATTGATGGGGAAAAGCCTATTTAGCAAATATTTGCGCAAATAGGCGTAAAACCCCATATCCTTTCGAAATGTAAGGAACAATTTCAAAAAAGACGCACTAACGGAACAATTATATATAAAAAAAACGAATATTAATAATAACATGGTCTTGCATAAAAAAATATCTCGTCCTATGGCACGGAGTTGTCCTTGGATCATTCAAGTCGAGGCCGTCATCGCAGAGTTGATCGGGAACAAAAAAGGAAACAGGCAGCAACATTCATCTGATGTACATTAAATGGACAGCTACTCACCGTCTTGCAACAATTTGCTGATTGAAAGCAGTTGCATGGGTCGAAACGTATCGTCACGAATTCAGTTACGTTGAATCCGGTGACGAAAGGTTTCCGCTGTGCAGTTGAAGTCGAAAAAAGCATATAATTCATTGAAACGTGCAGACATGAATCGTATTGGACCATGTAATCCGTAATTAGCTGCTCGGCGTCCGAGAAGCAGGAAACTCCTCGATCGTAGCCAAATTCAGCCAAAATCCCGGGAGAGTGGATTTCGCTACAAAAACTGCCTGGCTAATCTTCCTTCTACGTTCAAGAAATTCATTATCCAGCAGTTGGGAACAATTTTCGTAGGGTGGAATGTTCGTTGGATCATTCCAAGGAAGGTGGCGAAGAGCGTAACGAACGAATTTCCTCTGAATAGACTCGATCCTCGCTATCCAAACTATTTCATACGGACACCATATGATACTACTACACCAAATTGAAAGATCGATCGCACTAGAGAACAGTATAGAACTGTCAGACAGCTAGGATCCCGCAACTCATCAGAGATCTTAAAGATTAATCCGAGTTGCCTGTTAGCTTTGGCTATGATATTCGTGTAATGTAGCTTAAATGTCAAAGCAGAATCAAGTGTAATTCCTAGATCGCGAACGTTGTCCACACACTTTTTTGAACACTCAACGTGAGAAAATTCCTAGAGCATCACTCTTCGAAACCATCGATCAAGTCGCAAGCAATCAGTGAAGCATTGCACAACCACGTACATCTTGATATCGTCTGCATAGAATGACCGGCAGCCAGTTGGAAGTATCAAACCGGTTTCGTTAATGAATATCGAAAATAGCAGCGGTCCCAAATTGTTGCCTTGAGGAACGCCTGAGTTGTTTGAACAATAAAGGGTGTCCCACATCAAATTGCATTACGGAAAAAACGCCTTAAAAAATTACCCACTGGGTATTTTCTCTTGAAAATTTGAGTAGAAGTAGTTTAGAGTGTATTGTTTACATTGTATTTTTATCGCTGTCAGTTTTTCGAAAGTTGAAAAAAATGGCGTCACCCGAAAAGCAAGTCGTGAAATGATTTTGCGCAATCACTTGGAAAATCCTCAACTCTCTTTTCGGGATATCGGAAAACAACTCGGAATCATGCAGTCAATGGTGAGTCGTGTGATCAAACGTTACTACGAAACTCTGAGCATCGGACGGAAGGAAAAATGCGGTCAGAATGGATGTTCTATTAGTGATCAGTATCACAAGCGTGTCGTTAAAGCGTTTAAGCGGAATCCCAATGCTTCGGTCAGGGATGCGGCCAAAAAGTTGAATCTGTCCAAGTCTTTCGTTCAAAGAGCCAAGGCCGGGAGGGACTGCATACGTACAAAGTGCAGAAAGCTCCAAATCGTGACGAACGGCAAAATACGATGGGAAAGTCATGGGCCCGGAAACTGTACACCCAGATGCTGACGAAGCCTCATTGTCTCATCATGGATGATGAGACTTACGTCAAGGGGGACTTCCGGCAGCTTCCAGGGCTACTGTTCTTTACCGCCCAGCACAATTTTGATGTTCCGGAGGAAGTAAG